TTTCCCAAACCTTCCCTTCCCTTTCTTTCCCAAACCTTCCTTTCCCAAACCTTCCCTTCCCTTTCTTTCCCAAACCTTCCCTTCCTTTTTCTCCCCTCCTCTCCCCTTTTTCCCGTCTTTCCCCCTTTCTTTTTCCCCTCTCTCCTTTTCCCTTTTCCCCTCCCTCTTTCCCTTGCCTAACCATGTCAGCAACTCCCTCCACTCCATTTGAAGTCCTCAAAACCCCTGGTTTATCCCACTACATATATTCCCTTTCCTTTCTTTCCTATCCCTTTCCCTTCCCTTTCCTTTCCCTTTCCTTTCTTTTTCCTTTCTCTTTCCTTTCCCTTTCCTCCTCCTTTCCTTCCTGTTTCCTTCCTCTTCCCCTTCCCTTCCCCTCCTCTCCCAACCAACCAATCCCATCCCATCTCACCCCATCCCTTGGAGAAAGACTCTTCCAAGATCTTTCCCCAAAATCATCGCAGTTGATTCCACTCATCCATCACATCTCTCCTTCCCAGTGTCACTGCTCCTGTGAGCAGATCCCTATCCAAGGACACCGTGCCTGGGATTGATGTCAGTTTGTCTCTTCCCATTAAACTGGGACTGGGCAGGAGGTTTCTGGGGAGTGTGGACACCACTCGTGCCAAGGCTGATTCCCCGGGGGTGCTGAGGGCCATGGGGAAAGGCAGCAGGGAGGAAACTGCTCCGTGTAGGATGGGCAGGAATTGCATAGAGGAAACCCCTGGAATAAATGGGAGCAGCCCTGTGACTGCTCTAAGCTGCACTCCCAGGTTGTACAGCCAGGGAAGATCCCTGTAAACTGGGTGACAAGATCCTGTTCCCACCTCACAGGGCTCTCAAACACCTCCTCCTCTCTGCTGCACCTCTGCCAGGCAAACCCCACCCCAACCTCTCCCTTTCCCAAAAGGGAAAAGTCCTTTTGGGATGTCAGAGAGGAAGAGGGAGCTGCAGCAAAGGAAAGGATGGAAGCACCAGGTGGCTTCAGACCCCTCAGCATGGTCAGGGAGGAAAAACCTGGGTCACAAGAGGCTGCTCCAGAGCCTGAAAATTCTGGCTCAGGCTTGAACTTCAGGTGTGTTGGCCCAGGAACAGCACCCCTGTTTGCTCCCAGAGCCTCATCCTCCCCTGATGGGGCAGTTGAGAGGTTAGAAGGCAGTTGTCCAAGATGTATTTCCAGCTGGGGAAAGAGAAACCCAGCAAAGATTGTGATTTGGGCAGAGGGAAGGGGGAGGACAGTCCTCCCAGCTGTGCCCACCCCGGCCCTGCGTGGGAGGAAGGGGATGCTGCAAGTGCAGGAGGGAATGGGAATGACTGGGATGTCTTTGATGCACATAAGAGGAGGAGGTGACTGGGGCACTGTCCTGCTGCTTCCTGCCCCAAGGATCCCCAGGAATGGGCTGTGAGTTGTGGGAATCATCCCAGGGCAGTGTCTCGAACACCCTGTTGCTCCACATCAACCCGACATCCTCACTGCTTCCACAGGCAGTGGATGGAGGTGGATTGAGGATCCAGGATAATTCCTGGATCTCCACCTTCTCCTGAACTGGGGATGGGCAGGATTTTTGGTTTACCTCTTGGTGGAAACATCCCCAAAAACCCATCTCTGTTTCTATGCTGGTACAGCCACAAAGCTGCAGCACCAGGACAGCTGAGCTTGCAGAGACCCTGAAAACCCAAGGAAGGTTAAATGGTTGTTACCTCAATTAATCTAAATCCCCCCCTGTCCCTCCTGCCCTGCAAGGAAGAAGAGCACTGGTGCTTCTGGGAAATACAAATATTTCCCCCAGTTCTGCCCTGAAAGCCAACTTGGTCAGCACTGTCAGGCAGCTCCTGCCAAAGAGGAGGTTGTGTTTTTATTGATGGCTGAAGTGTCCTCATATTTTGCTTAGCTTAGAGAGAAAAGAGACTTGGTTTGCCCAAGATGATGAGTACTATTAAAATGTAGGCTGCTATTATTGATTATTAATGCAGAGCTCTTCCTAAAAGCCTTTTCATTGAAGCTGGGAGAACCAATCTTGTCTGGAGTGAGATTTGATTGATTTCCTTTGAAATCAAAAAAGAAAAATGCTGGAAACATCCATCTTTCCCTTACATTTTTCTTATGTAAAAGCCTGCCAGTGTTACAGATTCTTTAATGTCACAAACCAAAAACAAAACAACAACAACAAAAAAACCACCCTCTTTTGGCTGCTCAGCTTTTGATAAAACTCTCCATAAAAATGCCAAGCAGCTGACAAAAGGAGCTCCTCAGACCCCACATATCACTTCTGGTTTTCCTGGTGGAAAAAAGAGCCTCCATCCATTTCCCAGGCAGCCCTGCTGGGGCTCTCCCATCTCCCTGGCAAGTATTTTCCACCCAAAATCAGATTATATGCTCCAAATTGGGATCATCCTCAGATAAAGGATGCCTCCCGAAAGTCAGTGGGATGAAACCTGCACAGAGTTTTGCTGGATTGCCTTTCCCATGTCCTCCATCTGAATGTGTCCCAGGCTGAATAAATCCCTGCACTGGATCTGGGATGGATCCCTGGGATGCTCCCACCAACCCTGACTTAGGGCAGGGGCAGATGAAACCACAGGGAGCTGCTGCCTCCAGCTGCCTTTTGCATCCTCCTCTCCTTCAGCAGGATGGGGCAGGGGTGGCATCAGCCTGGAAATCCGGGAAGGAGCTTAAATTTGGCTGCAGGGGAACCATGGAATTGTGGTAAAACAGCATGGCCAAGGGAACCCTAATTCTGGGCTCATTTGTCCTCACTCAACCCGTGTGAGTGGAGGCTCATCCTTTCCCAGTTCATCAGCTGCAGGATGGAGAAAGGGGTACGGTGGCTTCCCACTGCCAGAGGGCAGGGTTGGATGGGATATTGGGAAGGAACTCCTGGCTGTGAGGGTGGTGATACACTAGCACAGGTTGCCCAGAGAAGCTGTGGCTGCCCTTGGATCCCTGGAAGTGTCCAAGGCCAGGTTGGACGGGGCTTGGAGCAACCTGGGCTGGTGGAAGGTGTCCCTGCCATGCCAGGGGGGTGGAATCAGAGGATCTTTAAGGTCCCTCCCAACCCAAACCATTCCATGATTCCGGTTGAGCAGAGAATACACTCACAGAACTGGCTCATCCATGGAGCCGCTGGTGGAGCCCAGGAGGGGGCAGAACTCCCACCCCACACCCAGGGGTCGGACTGCCCGGGCATCCCAAGGAACGAGGATGTGGAAGAAGTTTATTGCCCAGGGAGTGAGTGGCTGCACAATCAGCTCAGCACGGCAGAGGAGGGAGGGGAGAGAGTGGGGCGGAATTCCTGCAAATCCCCTGAATCGCTGCTCTGGGAATTGGCTTTTGTTACCCGATCACCGCTAAACTTGATCGGCAGCACGACACACACACACACCCCCTCCCAAAAAAAAGAAGGAAATTCAAAGGGAGCGAGTTCAGTTTGAATTTCGCTGCGTGTCAGAGCCACCTCGGCTCCCTCCCTGCCGCAAACGCCGGCCTATTTTGCGGTTTTTCCTGCTCTCACCGAAATTAAAAGCAAAGACCTCAGAACGGCCCCGTTTCCTCCGGCAGCGCCGGCACGAGGCGCCCGCAGATGAAACGTGTCAGCTTTGCCTGCTCTTTAAATCCTGTCACCGCTCGTTTTGCTCGGCTGGAGGGTAAATTCCTTGAAGTTCCAGCAAATCCCGGGCGGATCGGCTTCCAAAGAAACCCGGCGATAGCATAATGAAGGATTTTAACTTTGCTTATCAGTCTGCAAAGTTCTCGGCTTGGATGTACAGAGGAGTGGGGTTTGGGTGGTGATTTTGGAATTGCAGCAGCAGGGCAGGGTTTTCTCCCAGCCTTAGGGAACATCCAAGTCTCCTCTCCACGGATCAGGAGGGAATAGGTTGCACAGGGAAGCTGTGGCTGCCCCATCCCTGGAATTGTTCAAGGCCAGGTTGGAGCAACCTGGGCTAGTGGAAGGTGTCCCTGCCTCTGGCTTTTGGAATGCCAAATTCCATGAGATGGTCTTTAAGGTCCCTTCCAACCCAAACCGTTCTGTGATTCCGTGAACACAGATGGTCATGGAGAGTTTTGGTTGGTTTTTGTAACTAAGATTGGCTCCAAAATATACAGAGGAAACCAGGAAAAGAATAATTCAGTCAGTGAATGAATTCAAATTCATTTTATCAGGGAGTCAGAGGAGAATACTTTGGGCTCTGAATTGATTTAGCAGTCAGGAAGGGAGGAGAAATTAGATTTTTTTTTTAATATTTTATTTCCATCCTCTAATCTTGGGGGAGGATCTGGAAAAGGGAAATAATCAGAGAAGAGAAAATCTCCTAACACCTACAATGAGACTGACTGTCAGAAAAAAAATGATACAACAGAGATAAAATTCCCTACAGAAATGTTCCTTTTTTTGGCAGAAAAGCCTGTTCTGTCCCTTGAACAGCTCTCAGCAAAAAGTGTCCATAGAGCTGCTGTTCCCACTGCCCCTCTGGACTGACACTGTTTATCCAAGAACAATTAAGAGGTGATGTGACCCTGCCTAAAAATACCTACAAATGCCTGACAGCAGGAGATTTAAATCAAAAAGGCTGTGACATGAAAGAAATCCATGTGACCAGCTCAAGGTTTTTTCTGGACTGATTGGAGCTTCCTAGCAGGGAGATAATTTTTCAGGGGGAGCATTGGCTGACAGAGGCCAACTCCCTACTGATTTATTGGACAACAACTGGAATTTGCCAACCAACAGTGGACACAATTTCTCAGTCACACAAACCCCCTCAATCAAGAGTGGGGATGGTTCAAATTTACACCCTGTAGCTCAACCAGGAGCTCCTTTTCTCCAGGCTGAACCCCCCCCCCAGCTCCCTCAGCCGCTCCTGGTGCTCCAGACCCTTCCCCAGCTCCGTTCCCTTCCCTGGTCACGCTCCAGCCCCTCAGTGTCTTGTTGTGAGATCCCCAAAACTGACCCCAGAACAGTCCATCACCCCATCTCTAGCTTTCCTTGCAGTGCTCATCCAGGCACATCCTCGAGTCTTCCCAGAGGCGAGATCACTCCTTGATCTCTTCAGGGCCATCTCAGCTGCAGGCTGTATTTCTTTCTGGAGTTCCCGAATTGTCTGGAGATACAAAAGCAGGCTCTTGTCCTTCCCACTTCCCACTAAACATTGCTGTGAGTCTACTCATTTCATCTGGAGTCACTCCTGTTTTATTCTGGTGCGTTACCCACCCCTATCCTGGAGTGGGTGATGTTGCCCCTGGGAAGGGCACCAGTCTGGAGTGAGTTACATGCCATGGCCAGAAGTTGTTGAATATTCTCTGTACAGAACGGTTCTGGTGGAAAAATAAGCTTTTAAAAGCATTTTTATTCCCCCAAACTAAGCCTTTTTAAGCATTACATTCCCCAGGAAACCACATGGAGTTTGAACTGCGCTCAGCAGTTTAATGACACCTCGTGTCATGGATTCCCCATCCCTGGAAATGCTCAAGGCCAGGTTGGACAGGGCTTGGAGCAACCCGGGCTAGTGGAAGGTGTCCCTGCCCATGGCATGGGGTGGAACTGGATGGGCTTTAACATCCCTTCCAACCCAAACCATCCTGTGATTCCGTGATTCCGCGCATGGTGTGGCTGCAAGGAAGTGGTGGGGAACAGTTCAATTGGGGTGTTTAGGCAAGTGAACATTTTCATTTGGTGAATCAATTTCTTGTACACTCCGAGGGCCAAAATTCTCATTAGACTTTAGGAAGAAGTTCTTTACAGAGAAAGTGATTGGGCATTGGAATGGGCTGCCCGGGGAGGTGGTGGAGTCACCATCCCCAGAGGTATTTAAGAAGAGACCGGACGTGGCACCAGTGCCGTTGGTCTGGGTGACAAGGTGGGGTTGGGTCACAGGTTGGACTCGCTGATCTCAGAGGTCTTTTCCAGCCTGGTTGATTCCATGATTAACAACTGATTAGGAATGAAACCCACCCAGCTGCACACACACCTTGCATCCCTCCTAACACTTTGCAACTCCTCTCCTGTCCAGGTACCTGGGCATCACTCGCCCGCTGACGTACCCGGTGAGGCAGAACGGGAAGCTCATGGCCAAGATGGTCTTCATCGTTTGGCTGCTGTCTGCCTCCATCACCCTCCCTCCCCTCTTCGGCTGGGCCCAGAACGTCACGGTGGAGAGGGTGTGTCTCATCAGCCAGGACTTCGGCTACACCGTGTACTCCACGGGCGTGGCCTTCTACATCCCCATGGCCGTGATGCTCGTCATGTACAGCCGCATCTACAAGGCGGCCAAGGTGAGCGCCGAGAAGCACCGCTTCATGAACTTCCCCAAGCACTACGAGGAGGAGGGAGTCTACTGCCTGGAGGCCTCCAGCCGGGGCCACCACAGCTCCCGGCGGACCAAGGCGGCGGAGGAGTGCGCCACGCTCTCCAAGCTGCTCCGGCAGGACAGGAAGAACATCTCCATCTTCAAGCGGGAGCAGAAGGCGGCCAGGACCCTCGGGATTATCGTGGGGGCCTTCACGTTCTGCTGGCTGCCCTTCTTCCTGATGTCCACGGCCCGGCCGTTCATCTGCGGCGTGCGCTGCAGCTGCATCCCGCTGCGGCTGGAGAGGACTCTGCTCTGGCTGGGGTACACCAACTCCCTCATCAACCCCCTCATCTACGCCTTCTTCAACAGGGACTTGAGGACTACTTTCTGGAACCTCCTGAGGTGCAGGTACAGGAACATCAACAGGAGGCTCTCGGCCGCCAGCATGCACGAGGCCCTGAAAGCCACAGAGAGGCACGAGTGCATCCTGTAGAGCCACGTCCTCTCTCCCAGTGCCTGACCAACCGGCTCCTGCCTCTCCATTTCAGGTTTCCTTGCTTCTCCCGCCCTCCTGGGGCTGGCAGAAACCATTTGTGCCGTTGTTCCCCCCCTGCCAGACATCACTGCACCCCTTCCCCTCTCCCTGTGAGGAGCCGTGGCTCTCCTCACCTCGGGAACAAGTGGAGGGAACTCCCCTCGGGAACAAGTGGAGGGAACTCCCCTTGGAAACAGCCCTTCCTTCTCACCGTGTCCAAGGTGGGGGCTGAAAAGCTGTGAGCAAGACTGGGGGGGGTTCAAGGTCTACCAACTGTGGGCAACTCAAACCACCTCTCTGTGCCTCAGTTTCCCCATCTGTTATTTAAAAAAAAAAACAAGGAAAAGAAACCCTCCCAGCCAACCAAACGTAAAAAACACCCTAAAAACTTGATAAGACTGTGGCTCTCCACCTTCACAAAGGGCTCTAAGGTCTGTGGAGGGCACACATTACACTATGTAAAGATGCCATTGGCTGCACTTCTCTATGGAATACGACAGCAGCTCCGTTGTGGATCCAAGCTCTCATGCCATCCCAGCTTATACGGACTCTCCCCACGGATGTAATTGCATTTCACACTCTGAGCTCATGCCCAGGTTTGCACGTCAGAGCAGTAACACCAATGACCCCGTTTCCCCTCACACTGTAGCACTGCAGCACTTGAAGGAGACACTCCTGCAGAATCCAACGCCAATGGACACAGAGCTTCCTTTATGGTTGGACAGGAAAGTCCGGCAGCCTCCTCGTCAGGGCAATGACCGGTGAGCAAAGACACTCGTGTTTATTGGGTTGGACTGTAATTCCTTCTCAGCCAAGTGATGTGTGCTCATCATTTGTGGCTAATTGACTCTGTAAAAGCACGCTTTGGTTGACAACAGACAAAACCATATAATTTCTCTGACAGCTTTACAGTGCTTCAGTATGATGTCCAGCAAGCTTGAAAAAATACACTGGATGATGTATCTTTTTTAAAAAAAAAAAAAAAGAAAAAAGAAAAAGTCTGGTTTCCTTATTTTGGTGTAGACCCTTTGGTCTCTTTGACTTTAAAGCATCTCTTTATTTTTATGTGGTGGTGGGACTTGTCTTCCTGCAGATCCTCTTTGCTCATGGCCAACCTTGTTGTGTCAACCTGACAGCCCCACAAACCTCTGCCTGTTTGTAGATGATCACTGAATCATGGAATCATGGAATGGTTTGGGTTGGGAGGGACCTTAAAGACCATCTCGTTCCGCCTCCTGCCATGGGCAGGGACACCTTCTATTATCCCAGGTTGCTCCAAGCCCCGTCCAACCTCGCCTTGGACACTTCCAGAGGAGATGATTTGTGCTCTAGTTGTTGAATGTCTCCTGTCCTGGGTTTTCTTGTCAAAGCCAGACTGTTCAGAGGCTGAAGGAAAGTTGTTTCTAGACCTCCCCTCCCTCCAGATTTTCTTTATCAAGCAAGAGTGTGTGAGTGGTGGGAGTCCCATCTCTGGCAAAAATACAAGTGTGATGCCTTAATCCATAACTAAGTTGGGTGTTGGATGTCTTGGCTGAGTGCTGGTTTAACTTCTGTGCTCTCACTTCTCCTCTTTTCACCAGCCATTTCCATCCTGTCTGATTTTACGCTTGCTTTTTCTAGAAAGATCTCCAGTTTAGACTGGTAATTCACAGCAGGGAGGTTGGACACAGGGACTGCAATGTGTCCAGATATTCTCCAGACTCCTGTCCTCACACAGAGAGTCAGAATTGCACGTGGGAGGAGCAGGGGAGGTTGTAGCTGTTGTGTGGGTCTCCAGCGGGAGATACTTAAAGACCAGACAGCAAAGAGATTTGAAGGAGCACATAATCAGGAGTGATCCTAAGGGTGTAGCTGGAGCCCTGCTTCACCTGCTATTCCGGGCAGGAGCTCTTTGAAGAGGAGTGAGTGATTTTGCTAAGGCTTTTCACAGCTTTCTACCCATCTTTCTCCCATGGTTTGTTACCTATCGTTATGTGTCAGTGTTGGGTTTTCCTGGACCAGGCTGTTTGCTGAAGGCACAGCAGCCACGTTCAGTCCCTTTTCCCTGCTGCTCAGAGGCTGCTGTCCCTGTCCAGGAGCAGCACAACATCCAGTCACACCAGCAGCAAGGGCCTGTCCTCTACCACTCTGCCCAAGACAGATGTTGTTGCCCAGCCAAACCCGAGTGGTGCCCCTGGGATGTCCTGTGGTCCTGCACTCCCCAAACCACAGACCCCACAGACACAACGAGATGGGAGAAGGCACGACACATGCTCCTGGTTCCACATAGGCTTGTTCTGCGCCACCCCTCTGCTTTCCCTCGGCGCTGTGTGTTCCCCTCAGTGCACTTGCTGCTCACCACGGTTGCAACTTCTCCTGACGCTTCTGCTTCCGAGCCCCCACGCTCCCCATCTCCAGGGAATGGTCTGACTGCCCATCTCAAAGGGCCTGCTCAACAAAAACAACCCCTTTCCTCCCCCAGAGCGCTGCGGGCCATCATCCCCTCTGACACAGCATCTTGGCAGCAGCTGCTTCTGTTGCTGGTTCTGTTCCTGCCACAGGGACACGAAGCTCCTGCAGGGTCCGATTTCCTCCCTCGGTTCCTGCAGCTCCTTCCCTGCCACGGAGCCCTCAGTGCCCTTTTGACAGAGCTGTCTGGATTAGAACTAACCAGCTGCTAATTCCAACTGTCTCCTCGGGATATGAGAGCCCCAGGCCAGCCCATTTCACATCCAGGCTGGTTGTCCTGCTGCAGTGTATTTATTTATATGCCTGAGGTCAGAGGGAAACCATTTTACTTATTTTCTGTATTAGGAATTCGAAAACTGCCTTCAACAATTATAATCTTGTTTAATTCCACTTAACATCCCTATGCTGATGGTATTTCTAGCGCTGCTTAAAAGTGTTCTGCAAAAGAGCCATGAAACAGTATTTGAGCTTTTTTAATTAAATCAGACAAATACTGTTTTTTCTGGTTTGATGGTTCTTCCAGAATAAAAACAGTAAGGGAAAAAAATATGACCCTGGATGATCCCAAACCCAAAATTCTTCTAAGCAAGGAATCGAGCAAAATGATTTATTTGTCTTAAAAACTCCCAATGTTTTCTTTGACTTGGAATTGAATGTTTTGTTGCACTCGAGGCTCATCTGACAATTTTTTCCCTTATATTTTCATTTTTAGCTGTAGAAACATTTGAAAGAAAAGCTTTCTTCCAAGAAACCATTCCAAGAGTTTGCACCCAGGAGTATTTAAACACAACAGCTTCACTGAAACCAAACATTTTGCTCAAAAAATAATGAGATGGCTTGCAGGATTTTTCCCAGTAGTTATTGACTCAAACTTTGAACATCAGCCTAAACTCTTGCTTTTTATCTCCCCAAGATTAAATTGTGTTTAGGTTGGATAAAATAATGTGCATGCAAAGACACCAAGGACTTTTCCACGCACGAGTGAGCATCAACCATTTAGTTAAGCCAGTCAAGATCCTTGTAGATGAGCCACTAAATCATGCTGAAAATACTCTGTAGGGTTTGTTTTTTTAATTATTTTAATCAGACAGGAATCAATGCATTTGGCATCTGCAAAAACAAACAAAAAAACCAACAAACCTGGCTTAAGATAAATCTGAGCCATTTTGAAACCGATTTTAGCACGTACACGTGTGCTAACAAAACTGTGTGAGGTTGAAGAGAAATTAGCTCTAAAAGAGTCCCTGTTTAGGCAAAAATGTGAGCCCAGGGAGAAAATCATCAATTTAGGAGGAGAAGAGGAAGTTTTCTTGGACAATGAGGGAGTCCCAGCAGGGCAACAGCAACACAGTGGAGAAGAATGAGGAGCCTCGGGCGGAGAAAATTGAACTAATTCAGGCAGAAAATGAGTAGGTCACAAATCAGCTTTTTATTCCGCTCCCTGTGCAAGGGAAATTCATCCAGGAATTTGGGCAGAGTGATCTGGGGAGAAGAGGCAGTTTTGACAAACCCCCCCAGCTGGGGTCTGTAGGTTTTTGATACCGACGTTGAGCAAAGCCAGGCGGGCTCAGGCAGAGATGCACCAAGAAGCTCAAGGGGGTTGAAGCCTGGGTGTCTCCCCCCAAAAAGCCTCAATCCCCCCACTGCCTGAGCTCAGCACTTCTCAGATAGGTTTGGCTGATGGGTAAGTGCTGGGGATTTGCAGGGGCAGCTCAGCAAACCCACCGTGTTCTTCGTGCCCACGGGAGCCCTGCCACCTCTTCCACCTCCTGGTGACAATGTCACATCGACCACATCAGACTGGGAGATGATCCAGCCCGGGATCCTGCCTGGAACACAGAGCAGTGGTGGATTCTTACACAGGCAGGCCAACAAACCTGTTGTGGGATCCTTCCTTGCCCCACCAATTAAAGGTTCAGGGACCCAAAGTGGCCTTGGCGTGTTTAATAACCTCCAATCCGTGCTCTCCTCCCACCCTATTTAAGTTTTTCCCCCTCTGCCATCCCAAGCTCAAGGATTTCGTTATTTTTTAGGTAAAGAAGTGTCTCCCTTCACTCTTGTAAACCTGCCATCTGCTGAGCTCTTTAGGCCCTGGCTAATCCTTGCATTAGGAAGGAGAAGGAGTGATTATCCCTATTCACCCTCTGCAGGACAGCTGGGATTTTGCAGCCCTTTGCCATATTCTGCCTTTTGAAATTAAAGGGATTCAACCCACAATTCCTTTTCCAACAGTAGGATAGGCCTTGGGAAAATTATTAGGACAAGGACAGTCTGGATCACCTGCCTTCCCACTCTCCACTACACTCAAAGCATCCAACCTTGTTTAGTTCAGGAAATTCCCTGTTTAGACATGGTTTCTGTGCAAGGCTCGGTGTAACCCCCTGTTTTCCCATGGGAAAATGCCAAATCTTCCATCTGGGATTGGGCAACCCACATAACAGCCCAGGCTGGGGCAGGACCTGACACCCAGGGCACTGCTGAGCTTGGCAAGGAGAAGGCTAATGATGGCCAACCAGTGCCCTGAGGGGAATTTTGGGGAAGATGGATGCAGAAAGGTGGGGGAATCACTTTCTTTGGCCATATTCAAACCTCAGCTGGGTCAGGCCTTGACCAACCTGACCTAATCCTGGAGGTGTCTTTGCTCTGAGCACGACACAGATTCAGAAGCCTCCAGGTTTCCCTTCCAACTTCAGTATTTTATGATTTGGATGATTTGTGTAGTTTCCCACTCAAACATATGTAAATATTTATTTCCATATTTTTTTTGGCAAGACAATCTACAGATCTCCTACCTACCATGTGGAAAAGCTTTTTCTGTTTTGAGCCTTCTGAGTCACATGTCAGTAAAACTGAGAGTCAGCCCCACGACACTTTCCACCTGTGTTCTTATGTAAGAAACTGGTTTTCTTTGTTTGTTTTATTGCCATTTTAATCTGGACACGTTTCATATTCACAGTGCAGGATCTTTAGTTGCCTGCTTCTATCCCTTTTCTTCCTCTTGTGCATCACTCTGGGACAGAACTTAAGCAAAACCCCAATAACACCAAATGAACGGGCAGGTCACTGCTCAAAAGTAATTTTAAAGCCATAGTCAAGGCAAAAAGTGGGTATTTCATAAAAAACCAGGATGATTTAGGTTGGAAGGGACCTTAAAGATCATCCAGTTCAACCCCCTGCCATGGCAGAGACACTTTCCCCCAGACCAGGTTGCTCCAAGCCCAGTCCAACCTGGCCTTGAACACTTTCAAGGAGTTTTTCCAGCCATTTCCAGCCTTTCTCAGCACTGGCACACAGGGGAGAAAGGAGACTGCTCTGCTCTGGTGATTCCACTTTTTTTTAATGACAAAATCTTCCACGCAGAACCTACAATCTCAGACAAAACAAAATCAAGAAGAAAGCTGGAGTAGAAAGATGATGTTGCACAAATGCCTTTATCTGAGAAGAACTGAATCTCTCTTGCAAACACTCAGTTTTCTTTAGCTCTCCTTGGCTGCATCAATAGTTCTCCCTGGGTGAGCCTTGCACTTGGTC